TGACATGGGACACAATAGATTGTTTTGGGAAAGAGGGGGTGTCATATAATCAGAATGTACAATCCATCGTAACTGTTTGAAAACCAAATGTGCCAATGAAACATTACTTAGTTCAGACTGAAGTGAAAGGGTATTTGTTTTGATACGGCATGGGAGACAGATAGCAAATCAAAGTCTCGGTAAACAGAATATCTTACCAGGAACAGGTTGAGTGTTTACAAGTCTGAGTGATTTATAGTGGCGATCTATTTTGAATGTAATTTTCAGAGAATTAACTATTTTAGATTTGGACTTATTTGGTCTGAAGCTCTAGTCTATTCTACACCTACTGGTTACTCTGTCTGCATGTCAGTAACAAGAGCCACCTCTGTTGCAGCTCCATTCTGCATTCATAAATGGGAGTATGTTGTGACATGAATAGGCTTAATATATCTCCATAGAAGAGATAATAAAGACAAGTGCGTACTTCACCAGTAGAGTCGAAAAACTGGCTTCCAATAGTCACCCCTAATCCTCTCTGTATGACAGGCATGTGGGCTCCTTAATGCAACACTTACCATGGGGCATTAACCAATCAATTCCAATCAATTACTTGATTGGACGATGGATCATCCGTCAGCTTGAAGCGCTGATCTCATGATCATCAGATGGAGTGATTGGTTTATTGACTGGCGGGCCAATGTTGAACTGACAAGGACAGAGGGGCTCTGAGAGTCGACAGGGTGTTGAAGTGTGATTGTCACTTGAAAACAAGCGTGTGTGTGACAAGTGGACATTCACACGCAGGCATTGAGATTATTTGATCTACCATCAGTTATATTATTATTAGAAATTGACATCTGTCACCCCTCACATGTACTGTTTATGAAAACGACATGACTCCCATCCGAGAGACAACAATAACAACTGTGCAACCACATGGGAGTGAAGAAGTAGACGAAGTGACTTAGAACTCAAATACTCCAGAGACCCGGCAGATCGCAACTTATAAAATATAACTTCTGGTATGATAATAATGAATAATGTACAGTATGAGTCACCGTGTGTTTCTCGCTCCAAATGAATATGAGTTTAGTGGCTTTGTCAGGCTTTGACCTTAAAAACTATGAATGCCTTTAAGAGTTCAGTTAAAGAATAAAGGGTTTTATTAATGATAACATGATAATTAGATATCTCAGATTGTCCCGATGGAAGAAAATGTATATGTATTAAGTGCTCATATGTCTGTACATTTTCAAGACAAACTCCCTTATAGCAACAACGTATGGCGCTTATTTCTGTCTGTCTCATATCATGCTTGTTGTGCACCGGCAGAAATGCTAGAGAGGTTCATGTTGTTTATGTTTGCTTTCTCTCATTCCAGGCTTCTTGATTGTTTGCACCTGTCATCCATCCTGTGTCTCCTGTGCTCATCAGTGTCAGCCCCGCCCCTGATTGGTCCCACCTGTGTCTTGTCACCCTGTGCTTAAATTCCCCTGTCTCCCAGTGTTCTTTGTCAGTTCGTATTGGCTTATGCTATGGTCAGGTCGATGTTTCTTGTGCTCGTGAAAAGTTTAATTCCTCACTACAGTACGTGAGCACTTTCTTTTTTTGTTCGCTATTTTTGTCATCTCGGCTAGAGATTGATAGTTACCCTTTTTGTTGTTCACTGCTGTATTGGAAAATAAAGTATCTTACAAATACTTTACCTCTGTCTCCCGGGTCGTGCAATTGGGTCCTACATCCTAAGTGTCTGAGTTCGTAACAATGCTCAATAAACCCCTGTTTTTCTCTTGTTTAGTTTATTTCTGCAATACATTTCTGCCCTCTCCTTATTGTCTAATCTTGTTCTCCACTCTCCAAAACCCAAACACACTTGTCCTGTCTAGAAATCAGTCAACCGGTTTAGTGGGCATTGTCCTTTTGAACTTTGCCTCTACTCATGCCTCCTCTCCAAATTTGCTGAACACACACACACAAGTATTTCCTGATCCACAAAGAGAGCAGTTACGCAGAGAAATGATAAGAAACAAACTGAAAACTGTGGAGGGTTGAGGAGGGTGGCAAGGGAGATGAGGGAGGCAATGACTAGTTTGTGTGTGTCAGAAAAAAAGAGAGAGGGAGATAGAGAGAGCAACATGGAAGATAAGTATGTGAGAGAGCAAGGGAGTTAGAGTGAGAGAGATCAGAGAATGTTGAGAAGAGCTTTTGGCTTTTCTCTCTGAGGATAAAGCTTGTTCCGGCCTTGTGAGGCTGAGTCTCGCTGCTGTGATGTCCATGGTGCTGAATCAGCTGGAGGGTCTTCCGCCTCTTTTTATCTCCCTAACTTCCTTTCTTACATTTTCTCTCCTCGTCTTTATCTCTTTTGCCCTTTCTGTGTCTACTCGATCTCTCTCTCTTAACTTCACAGTCACTTTATTGTTGTGAAACACAGCAAGTCAGCAAGGCAATGTCAACACACTCAGCACTGAAATGACAGTAGGCAAAACCACAAAGAAAAACGAAAACAAAATGAATTATAAAATGAGATATGAAAATGAGTCAATCAGAAGACATTTGCTTTTGTGTGGATTTAAGAAAAAGAGTGATATGGTAATGTTTTACAATGACAATGGCTGCAACTTAAAAAGGCTGCCCTCGGCAGAAAGAAATAACAGCTATGGTAATTTATTCAAATGCCTTAAACATAACATGTTTACTCTTACCTCACAAGGACCTCTTCAAGCCTCTTATGAACCCTTCTGTCTGTCGTTTCCAGGACACAAAGGCAAACATAGTTATTACATCACCACACAGCCTCTTAGTCCATTGGTTGAGTGAGACATGGGAGACCAGTGTCTGTAACTCTTTCCTAGTATCCAGCCACATTTGTCCTACCCTCAACCTTAACCCTCAACCCTTAATCAAGTTTTTGATGTACCTTAACTGGGTTAGAAATGATTCACATGGGCTGTTTGGCATGGAGTGACAAAGGACCTAGTTCAGTAACAAAGACATTTATATAATGTGTTTGTCTGTTTTTTTGATAATGGTAAGTATAGTTATAAAGAAAAATGCACAATTAAAATTCCCAGTAGTCCCAGGTGACATCATCACATTCCTAATGTTGTCCAATGAACAGTCCAATACCAAGTCCCTTTGTTTTATTTCAGCAAAAATACTTCAAGTTAGGAATTATTTTTCGTATGAGGCTCCCAAAACTAGCACATTTGGAGTATCTTTGGGGACACCCAGCTCTACTTACATTACTAGGAATCATCAGAAACTCTGACCCATTTTTCTTGTTCTGACAAATAGTTGAACATGTGCTGCAGCCTGCTTTTAGTCTCATTCCATTCTCCTACAAATGCCACCAACGTTGACTTTTATGCATGTTAATTCACAAAAGATTCATCCAAAACATCCCCAACTCCTACTTGTTTCTCAATTGATACATTTATCAGAATCAGAATCAGAATACCTTTATTAGTCCCACAGAGGGGACATTTGCATTGTTACAGCAGGAAAGAGCCACAGACAGCTTAATGTTACCTATCTTAAGAAAAAAGTACTAAGTTATAATATAATAGAACAAATATAATATAAAAAAAGAAAAGTAAAAGAAAAAATACTTTCCAAAATACAAATCCTGTAACAGTTCTTAGAATTTAGCAGCCAGGTATATTATTAACGGCATATAGATATATATATATATATATATATATATATATATTGCACATATTGCACATAGTTGATTGGTATTTAGCAGCAAGCAGTGACATATAGTCTGTGTTGTGGTGAGTGTAGGGGAGGGGGGGTCTACTAGGGGCTGTGCTGGTTGTATAGTCTGACCGCTGCAGGAAGGAAGGACCTGCGGTATCTTTCTCACATCCACAAGCACGCACATGTATTTATCTGTTCTTAGACTGAATTTTAGGCCATAGGCCAGAGGTGTTTCTACTTAGATTGAGATTATAGAACATGCGCACATTCAGAGTTTTCATTTTCCTGGCCACTGTCTAATCTCTGTCCACTCTCTAAATCTATTTGTCTTGTAGTTCTTACCTTCCTCTGATATTGTTTTTATTTCTTTATGATCCCCTGCACTCCCAGCCCAACCACCACAACAAAACCTTGAACTATTTGATGTTATGCCAGCAGTACACCATATCATTTATCCCACCTCTTGCTAATCAGATAATTGGAGAACAATGTGACTTTATAAACCATGAAATCCTGCAGAATATGTAAAGTGAACCCATCAATCTGCCTCATGTGCCGGCTGTTTTACCCGTGTCTGATGCTAGCATTCATCACTGCAGCTTCTGAGTAATGCCATTTGATGCTTTGGTTTTCTGTGTCCAAAAGAAGGTCACCTTTGCATTTGTATTAATGACCCTCAAACTGAAAGGTATGTCAAATGTCACGTTCATTTTATTGTTTTGCTTGAGTTTGGAGAATCTTCTCATCTCCATCCTCTAGTGGTCATTACAAGTAGGGCTTTTTCAAAGTCATAATTATATGCGTCATATGACATGTACATGGCTGCAAATTGGTGACAAGCTGACCATCCTTAATGATACAGTCAAATTAATCAGCCAGATAAGAAAGCAAATCAGCATATAACACACAACGTCAAATGATTGCTTTAAAAGGGAGAACTATTGGCCAATTTCGCATTTCCTATACGCTCTTTACATCTCTACAACATTCATTTTCACTGGTAGTGTGCTAGGAGATGTTGAGCATATTAACATCAACAACGAATAATCAGGATTTTTATAAATATTTTGTATATTGTTACAAGAAAGAACTCTCAGTTGGATTCCATTGCATGCAGATAGTATGCCTAAATAGATATACTTGAAAACTACCATTACAATAAATAATACTAAAATCATAAAAGGGAACTACTTTTACCAAGGGTCGCACTTGCATTCCCACGGCCCTCTTGAGGTTCCCGCCCCTCACTGAGAACCTCCGGCCGTGTTTATATGTGTTGTGTCTCCTGCTAGACCCCATTTATATCAACTACTTTTCCCAGGCAAACGCCCCGGAGATGGCATCACGCACAGTCGTCATAACGTATCCATCGGTTATTACCAGCTGGTAATACCGGAGCAGCGACTCGTCAATAGGAAAAGCAGGACACGGACACAGACGGAAGGAGACAGACAGTAGAGGGGCTGGTAGGCGTATCGCCTCCCGGGACAAACCGACGCACTGTGTGAAAGTGACTGCAGGAGGGACGTAGAGGCTCACCGGCGGATCAGAGTGCTTTGTAACGGCCAGGAGGGGAGAAAGGACAGGAATGATTTGATGCTGGTTTCCTAGCGGGATTTATCATATAGACAGCCTGCACTTTTCTCCGGAGCTTCTCCGTGGATAGACCGACACGAGAAGAACAGATAGATAGGTCAAGACAAAGTCACTTCTGTGGCTGGAGAGGAGGGGACGCCCGTTTACCAAGCCTCTCTGATTCTGCAGTTTATTTTTTAACCAGTTGTTGTCAAATTGACCATGTTCTTACCTTGAGACGGATACACAGCAACCAGAAAGGATTACTGTCCTACAGCAGAGTTTAAACATGTTGAGATGGGAATGAGCCAAATGTGTTGGTGCAGGAATGACAGCTGCTGAATGGGGACCAGAGAGCATCTGTAGGGGAGTTTACACCGGCTGAGTAGCCCAAAACGAAGACCGTGCCCGGTTTCACCGTGTAGCCTGAGACGTTTCCTTACTATACACACTCAGTGCTTTTTCTCTATTCAGGACACACGTTCCCAGATATATTAACCTCCGACGGCTGTGCGTTTTTCTTCACATCACCGATTAACGGAGTCTTAATGGAAACGCTGAGAGCTCACATAGGGACCAAATGAGTGCGCAACGCGGCTGTGCGCCGGTTTAACGGCGTTTTACCACGCTTACAGTACCGTCCCAGGGTTCAGTGGTGGACACCGGATTGCTGTAGGTTATCAGCTGCCACCGGTCGTGTACCTGCATCGGGCTTTTAAGGCAAACTCCAAAGGAACTAAATTGAAACGCCTCGCGTGCCCCATCACCTCTCAAGGATCCCTGCAGGGCGACCAGCGTTGCGCGGTAGACAACCAAAATAAAAGTGGATATCATTACTTATTTGGTTCGTAACTTATCTGTCCAGGAGGAGGATGATTTAACATATTATTTGCTCCAGAGCTCTTCATCTGGCTTTACAAGAGAAGGGGAGAACGGAGGAGAAACCGCCTGTACTTAACCGGCGAGGAGGAGAGAGAGGCACGCAGGTATGGCTGTCTCTTTATCTACTTTCTCATCTGTCCGATTATCGCACATATTGCATCCCTCCTCTGCTCCTTCAATCATCACATTATGTCCTTTGTGTCTTGAGACCGCTTTGAGAGATTGATGTTGTAATTTTAGAAGGGGTCGAGTTGATTAGATAGGGAGAGAGAGATGAAATATGAGAGAGAGAGAGATGGAGAGAGACGAGGAGAGGAGAGAGAGAGAGAGAGAGAGAGAGAGAGAGATAGAGAGAGAGATGAGAGAGAGAGAGAGAGAGAGAGAGAGAGAGGAGTAGAGAGAGAGAGAGAGAGAGAGGAGGCAGATTGGGGAGATAATGGCGCTATGGTTTCTCTCATACGATTTAGAGATGGTCATATCCTTTCCCTAGATTAGAGACAGTAGGGGCCATGCTCGGGGGTTGTAATGCATTGGAAACGTGAATAAATTGGTGTGAAACATGAGGAGATGAGACCATATGAGTAGAGATGGGATTAAAAAAAGCTTGGTATGAAAAGGGGCTGAGAGGAGTCAGAGTTTAGAGGAGAAGGGGCAATGAGGGAAGGATGGATGATGGCAAAGCTCAAGGGAGGAGAACGTTACAGTTGATTACATTGGGGGTTGGGGGGGGGGGGAATTGGCAAGGAGAGCAGGACTAGGGGAGCAGAGACAAGGCAATAATTGAGACAGGGGAGACTTAAAAGGAGTTGTTAGGGGAAGAGGGTGAGGAGAGAGCTGGGGTGGAATACAGAGAAGGAAATGGGCTGGGTGAAAGGCGAGAGGTGTTCAGGAGAAAGAGAGACATAGTGGCAGGTGAGAGGGAAGGCAGCTTGAGAGGTGGGTAGAGAAATGAGAATAAACCAGGAGAAAGATGGAAACAAATGTAACAGATAGTGGGGCAGTCAGTGGGAAACGAATGTATAGAAGAGAGGGAGCATACAGGGAGAGCAGGTGCTGGCTTTTCAAATGATCCCTTAAGAAAGCTCTAACTGCCGCATGCTGGAGGCTAAGAGTAGAATACTCTCTCTATCAGTGCTGCTGTAGCTACTTCATGGTATATTGTCAAAGGGACCGCTGCGTAATGGTTGTTGCTGCACCAAGGAAAGAGAAGAAGAGAAGCCAAAAAAAGCTGCACACAGCCAACAGTTTAGTTTGCAGTGTCAGCTCATCAGCTCCTCTTTACCTGCCATTTTCTTTTCCATAACTGCCATTTGCATTTTGATGGGGTTTTACAAAGGCTCCAAGACATCGTAAAACACATGTAAACACACATGCCAGATTAAAAAAGATTTGGGGAAGGTTATTTTGCTTGTTTTCCTGTTTCCGCCTCGGAAAGTGTTGCAGGCTTAACCAAAGCCTTGTTTCGCTATTTCAATCTTATGCCTACATAACATTTTGTCATTCTTTCTCGCCTGTATACTCATCATGTTTGAATGTGTCTTGGAACAGTGGCAGTGTTTTTGAAAGATTTTCAGTTATTAATTCCTTTCAGATCACAATCAATGTGTGAAATCCTCGTGTACAGTTAAAGAAATCTTAACGGGCTGGACTTCAATGGGAAATGTTTGAAGTAACTTCCTTTCATCATGTTTCTACAATCATGACCTGATTTGCACCACGACATTCACACTCAAACTCAAATATTGACAGGGGATTGTATTGAGCTTAGAGCCTCAAACTTGGTAAATATGCCCAGAGAAGATTGCAGGCAGATTTTTTCACCAGCCAATCTCGAAATACATTTCAAACATGCTTGTGTGCAATTACTTGATGTAGCCCTAGAGTGGGCTGTAATGACTTGGGCCTTAATTCTTGAAATCATCGTGGTTACTTACATTGCTGTCACAGTGAGTTTGCCAACACGCGAGCAGTGTTCAGGGTTATGGCTCATATTCTGGATAAGCTCTTATTTGGGATTCACAGCTAATGCATCTCCATATCCTATCTATGAATACCACTATACATGGATAAACAGAATATTCTCACACTGCCATGGAAACAGAGTTTACACAGGCGGTCAAATACCAGAGACATTTTTAGGTTCAGTTATTTAATTTGTTCTCATGGCAAACAAGTGTTTTTCTCTTTTTTGTGTACATAATGATTCAAATGAAGCAATTATAAGACACACAACTTTAAACTGAGCAGTAATGTTTTTAAAACAGTGGTTCTAAGCATTGTGGGTGATGTTGCAGTAAGGTCAGATACACATTTGGGGAAAATAAAACAGTTTAACGTTTTTTTACAATATTTGCGATGTCCCACAATCCATGAAACTACTCCTTATGTTATATGTATTATCAACAAGGCTGCAGAAAGTTACTGTGCCCAAGCAGAATAGTCTGGTACATAATCCCTTTTAAAAACGACAATATATTGTTTTTACCTTCAGTTGTTATGAATTAAACAAATAAAATGGTTGTTAAATTATTAAGTTTAAAGGTGGTAGGTTCATTTCGTTGTATTTGGACAAAGCTCGTCTTGTTTCCTCGTTTCAAACTTGCCGGCCCCAACTACATATTTGCCGATGGTAGGCTAGAGTTGAATCTTTAGTCCAATCTAACTCATTGTGAGAAAGCCAATAAGCACATTTGTCAAAATGTAGAGCTATTCCTTTGAACAGCAGATGTCAGAATAGATAAGGTAAAGCCTGGATTGACCGACTCATATAACTGAACAACCAGTTCTAAGGCAAGTCAAGGAAATGACATTCGAGCTGAGAGGAAGGCCAGAGACTAATTTGACCCTGATTTCCAGTAGGAAAACAAGCTGTGGAAGTGGCGCTTCATGATCTTTCTGGCTTATTGGGATTAAATCTGAAGGTTACAGAAAACAGAGGGATACATGGGGCCAGAAAGTGTGAGAAAAAATGCTTTCAAACCTCCTGATCATTTGAACTCTGAAGTCATACTGCTTGTCCAATTACTCCGGTGGCTATAACTCAGATTAGCAAATCGTTCTCTTCTCCCTCCTAATTAAGTGCAGGAGAGGTGGGAGATTGATGGGAGAGTGCATGTGGCAATGTGAAAAGTGAGGTTCCCTTAACACTTAACATGAGCTGAATATGCATTCATCTTTACAGTTTCTGCCAAGCAGAATGTTTGATACTGAGTTGAAGGAGGTTATTTATATTTTATAAAGCATGGAATACAACTTGTTCGTGTACATTATTAGAACATGATCTGGGACTGTTAATTAACTTGTGTAATGGATTTCACAATCGTAAACCCTGAGTGGCATAGCTTTGTGTCATGATCCCCCATCATTTCTGACTGGCTATGACACCCAAGCACCTTTTAAAATGAACTTTGAACAATAAAGCTTTCTTTTGGAGGCCGTGTAAAATACCTTTCATTCTGTCAACATGAGATTGAATAATGCAGCTCGAGAGAAGTGTGAGTTATGGAGGAGTGTAAGTCTAATTGATTGATGTGTTCGTATGAGCAAGAGAGACGGAGCAGAACATAAAATGGAGCTCAATCTCAATGAGTTTCAGAAGGAGAAAGAAAATACAGTTTGGACGATGTGGGAAAATGGAGTTCTCTACCCCAAATATAAGGTTTTTATTTAAAGAAATGTGATTATGCGGATGCAGTAATGACTACATGTTTTGAGGAGTAAACAACGGAGTGATGTTGCCATGATGAAATGTGTAAAAGGATGGAAAGGCTATAATAGACAGATAACAGTAAAATAAGATTGGAAGTAGGGCTGCACGATATATCGTGTCGTGACGATAATCGCGATATGCGCATGAGCGATATTCACATCGCGTGGATGTGCGATTTTTGTAATTTTTGTTTTTAATTTTGAAAAAAAAATTGTTTAGGGCCTGCGATATTAAGTAGGCAAATTAAGTCAAACACGTCATGTTACAATTATTTTGCTGCTTGCTACAAAAGGAACATTTGCACGGCTCTCATGTCAGGGGTACTTGAGTGAGTGACATGCCGGCTCTGCATGCACAGCAAACCACCAATCACAATCAAATCTCCAAAGCAAACGGACCCGGTGATTAAAGGTAAAAACACTGAATAAAGTAGTTTCATGTGTTTCTCCAGGGCAGTTCAGCGCTGCTAACCGAGCTAGCTCAGCTTGTTGCTCTGATAACTTAAGATCCAGACGTCCGCGACTAAAATCCTTCATCCGGTTAAATATAGTTAAAAAAATACCAATTGTATAGCATTAAAGTTCAAGAAAGGATGGTTTACGGGGAAAAAAACTGTATTTTCTTCAATTCCTGTTTTCATATCGCAATATATATCGCAAGGGGAAAAATAAATCGCATTGTCTGTTAGGATCTGTCTGTGTTGTAGTTTTGTATGTCTGGTTATGGGTATTTTCATCCTTGTATATTGTCTGGTCCTTCTTCCTGTGTTTTTCCTCCCGTCGTTAGTTTCCCTGGTGTGTCTAGTTGTCTGATTGTTTTCACCTGTGGCCCTTGTGTTTCTCCTCCCCTGCCCGGCTGTGTCTCGTCTTGTGATTACCCCTTCCTGTATTTAGTCTTGTCTCTTCCTGTGTTCAGTGTCGGTTCGTCTTGTGTTGTGAGTAAACTGCGGTGAGTGTTCTGTTCTGTCTCTGAATATTGTAGCCTTGAAATAAAGGAATTATTTTGTCACTTAAATCTGCATTTGGGTCCTGCTTCCTGCACAGCGTAACATTACGAACCGACCAACAATGGACCCAGCGGATTTTAATTTGGATTTGGACTTGTTATCCCTAGAGTACACTCTTCAGTGTCATTATGCTGAATGGAGTAGGACCTTGGCTAAAAGGGACAAAGAGGCTGTCCTCAAAAAGGCACAAATGGAGGTGGACAACATGCCATGGTTGAGAGGCTCATTGCCTGAGTTTCTCAGAGTTTTCTCACGCAGCCCTGAGTGCCAGTCTCCATTCTCTGACCCTTTCTTGGGATCCCGCCTGGCGTTTGGAGGTCCACGGAGCCTCCAAAAGACCTCTAAAAGACGCAAGGTCAGGAAGCCAGCTCGTACTCAGGTACCGGTCC